TCTGAAGGATGATCTCTCACATAAGCACTTAAATATAGGAATCAGGAATGCAGGGGAGAAGAAAAATCAGAGCTGGACCTAAAATGAGGTCTCTGTAGCCATGGAGTGACTAAGCTCACTTGGGGAGACCATTTACCCAAGGTGAACCGAGGGTACATTCCAACTAACCAAAAGCATGTTAGAAAGCGGCTGCAGAGCAGCCAAAAGGCTAAGACTGGTACTGGTTCTAGGGAGAAGATAATCTATGAAGCACAAAGTACCCATTTCAACAAGCGAGACACGCACACGTTGAAGGGATTCCTTAGCTTAACATTGCCCAAGTGGGGTCAGGACCTGTTATGCGACGTGGGGCTCCTTCTCCCTTCCCAGCGCCGTCAGTGCCCAGAATCACGGGATGGAGATTCAGGTGTCGCTAACAGTCACACACCCGTTACACTCCTGCCGGCGTGGACACTAAGACTTTGGTGCGGAAGCTAAGACCTGAGGAGTCTCTCGGCAAATGGTCTCACTTCTACTGCCTGGTTTACATGGAGACTATTGCGGTGTGCGACGGATATGGGGCAGGAGACCAAACCCCACCGCTGGATGCCCACTGAAGACCACACCCCCACCTGCTCCAGGAATGCGCAGGCGCCGCCGGAAACCAGTGACGGAAACGGGCGCCGGAAGTGACCTTTGGCTTCCGGTTCCCTGCCAGCGGACCGCAGAAGCATACCTCATCTCGTTGGCACTTCCGCTGGCTTATGGGTGGGTGGCCAAGTTGGAAAGCAAGGATCTGAGGCCGCCCAGTGCCTTTTGGAAGTCCTACTCACCACACCCTCTACACTGATTCTCAGCTTTAAGTGATAACCCACACCGGGGGCAGTCACTGCTTTGTGGAGAGGTACCTGGCCCTCTACTGCTGTGCAGCAAACACTGGAGAGCAGATCGACATCTAGTGATGTCTTCCTGAAATAATGTAGGAATTTTCTGCTGAGTTTCAGAGAGCAAGCAATTTTACTTCCTTTTTTAAATGGCACGATATCATTCATTCACCCCTCTCCAAACCACAATCCTGCCAGTCTTCAAAATTCACCTCATTGCCTTGTGAATCCACTGAAGTATGAAAAAAGTTCAACTCCTTACCTTACCACCATAAAATAGCATTTATTAGATGTCAAATTGCACATCAGACAGATATAATCACTGTCTGTTGAAATCTTGCAATCTAGAGCTAAGACTGATGAAAATGCACCAAAAACAGTACAATTAAAACATTAAATAAACAGTAAAAGTGCAAACAACATTTTTCTGAGGTATCCAAAGGAACTAGCGATTACAGCACATTCTTAGGTTTATATAGATGAATATTTATGTTGTATTCCCTTCTTCCATAGACTATTAATGCAAGGAGGAATGTCAATTTAAAAATAAAACACCTGTAGTCAGATAGGCATTGGAAACATGGATAATGGTCACTTTTATATCAGAGAAATAACTCTCCTGAGCTTACAAAACCAAAAAGGTGAATATATACACTTCTAATGAAGATTATTTTGTTACTTTTTAAACAGACAGTCAAAGCAAAAACACTTCCAACCAAAATCCCACAGGGCAAGTTTAATGAACATTCAAAATAGACTCTTTATTCATATAAACTATAGCCTTCTATGTCTTCCCTTGTACACATAGGCAGTAAGTTGTACAGTTTCACATTATATGACATGCTGCAGTCACAGAACGCTGCCACTTAATTATATGGAAACTCAAGAGACAAAGAATTAAATGGCATTTACTGTGAATTCTCATTTAAGTTTTAACTTCTTGAATTATTGGGTTAGTCATTTTTTTAATGTAAAATGAGTGTGAATAAACTATTACCTGTAACACCAAAGCTCTAAACAAACTATTTTCAGTCCAGCTCATTCAAGAACAAATAAATTCTACAATTTCTTAAATTAGAAAACATAAACTGCTGACATCTGAATTCCATTGGAAAAACACTCTTTTCATCAACGATGACTGTTTAACAGAGCCTGATACTCTAGCATTTGTGTTAAGGAATTGTTGGATACATATTTTCATCACTGCATCAAGAGGAAGCAAGAAATTTGTTTGAGAGTCAATTTCTTCAGCACAAAATTTTCCCTCTACATAGTATGCTGTATGTAGTTAACCAACCATTCAAAGCAATAAACTCTTAAATTTAGTTTCATTCCTACTTTAACTTTTATCCAGTATTGTTAATAGCACCACAGTAGGCTAATATCTCTGAGTTAATGACAATTTTGTGAACTCTATCTCTATCAGTTAACACTGTAAACAGAAAAGTGAAAAGTCATCATCATAAAAACAGCCTGACTCTCACCACAAAACCCAACTTTTCCTTCAATTCTCTGGGGGCAAAGCAGCTTGAATTACATCTAAGCAAATGTATTTAGGTATAAGTGCACAATAAGGCAACTGAAAATATGCCTATTTCACAGTAACTGACAGGTTTTTTTTTTTCATTTTTTTCTGCATACCAATCATTAACAATATTATACAAAAAGGCCATTTTAATTGCACCCACGTGTACGTTAATGTTTCTATAAAGGTGCTATTTTTCTAATCTTTTAGGAAAGTTTGTTATTATCCTCCAAAATCTGGAGACAAAAACTTCTGAAAATGAGGTTAATTGTGAAGGAAGCCTCATCTGGAAAGGCAAATTTCCATATTGAGGTGCAGAACAGGATGTATGGCACAAATTCTCACCGAAAAAAAAAGGATGACAGCTTCAATCGTTTATATCAGCCCCATCCATCCAAGTTCCTTCTGAGATATTCTCTCTATTTCTTTCTGCAGCAATTTTGCTAGGCCAAGCCACTTTCCTGATTTCATTTCCCATCCTGCAACTCTTCATTCAGTCTTCAACTAAAATATTGGACCCCCTTGTGCTGATGAGGCACCATGCCAGTTTCACCCCTGAGGGCACAAGCAGGAGAGCAGGGAGGTGATATTCTTGTCAATATTTAACGATCATTATATCTAGAGTTGGCTAATAAGAAATCGAACTGGAGACTCTTTCTACACAATTCAAACAGACAGACAAACCCAGCAAACTAATGTCCTGTATCATAAGAGTGGAAACATCAGAAACAAAGAACTAAGCCTGGCCTTGACATACAGAACACATGGTCTCAACTGTGGATCTGCAAACAAGAATGACAAAAAGGGGAAAAAGAGCAAGAGGGGTGGTTAGGGCTGTTGGTTTCAATATTCCTCTCAGCTGAACAGTATCTTCCTGCCTCTAGTAAGTGTTAAGAGCTTAGATGCAGATGCCAGCACGTTTTTGTATATTCATTTCCCAATCTGCTGTTCTGCAGAAGGACAGCCTTCCAAGTACTATCTTCCATCCAGTTAGTCCTCAAGCCACCTTTATTTTTGCTGAGATTTCCTAGTAACAACTTCATTTAAGCAAATACTGTACTTTTCTACTATTTAAATAGGATAAGACCATTCTTATATTTCAATCCAAATCCTATATGATTTTGCTGATAGATATACAATCAATTTAAAGTCTATATGAACATATATTTACATTCTATTTAATATTAATAACACTATTTAACAATATTTTGCTCCAATATTTATTTGTAATAGCAATATCTAAAGACATAGATTATCAAGTATTTTGGTTAAAAATCTCACAATTTTCTATATGTATTTTTCTTTGGAGATGGAGAGGAAATGTTATGGCATTTAAAAACCAAAACCCAACAAAAACCTTCAGGGCTGAACTCTGCAAAGTTTGAAATCTCTTTTCTGATTATAGAGATGGGAGTTCAAACTTGAAGTCCTAAGAAGTCTTCTGTTGCTTTATAATCATACATTTAAGTCAGGTTTTGGGTAAAGCGCAAAGAGAGTGAGGGATTCCAGGATGCAAGTACACAGGGCAGCTTCCATGAAGACTATTCTCTCTATCTTAGCCTCCCTGGCCACTTGCAGTGTTAATACTTGGTGCAAATGCCAACAAACAATGCAGTGCTGCAGAATGCATGGCCTTTGGAGTCAGAGATTACCCAAGTTTAATGCCAGTTTCACCACAATGTGATTTTTTTTTTTTTTTTTTTTTTTGGTGCTGGGTAAAGTACTGACTGTACCCTTTAAGTGCATCAGTTTCCTCATTTACTAACAAAAACAGTCTTTTCTCTGTCACAGAATCTGAAGATTAAATTGAATAATACACCTAAGTATGTAACATGTTCACTAACAGTTTTGATTATTCATAGCAAGACAGGTAATGTGCTTCAGTAGAGATCTGGAGGTAAATCACCTCAGAGAGGACCAGTGTCTCTCACCAACCCCCCTCAGGCCAAGTCCAGTCTCCAGAAAAGGAATGTAGTTAGAATGCATAGTGTTTCAAACAATTGGGTCATAAATGCCAGTACCTGCCCCTGGCATCAGATCTGCAAGTGGGAACTCCTAGAATACTAATAGCAATCAACTAGTCCACCCATCTGGGAAATTCTTACAGAGGGGGGAAAAAAGCTTCTAAACTCCTCTGGAAATTCACATATAAAACAATAATCTCATACAAACAATACATTCAAATAGTTGCAGCAAAAAAATATAAAAAACTGATATAAAAGCACTTTCATAAATACTATATCTGCAGAACTGGCAAAAATTAAATAAATTCCCCTCCTTCTAAAACTCAGAAGCGATGTAAACAAAAAACTCTAGCAACAGTCCTCATTTTAATGACAACAGAATTTAAGTGAAAGTTCTGTATCTTTTTCTGGCTCATACAAATGAAATTTTAACAGTAACTGACTTCATTCACTAGCTATTTAACATAGATTATGCTTCCTCAGTTATAAAACAGAAATAACACTGCCTAAATGAAGGTTGTGGTGAGAATAAAGTATTATATGGAATGTGGTGTAAAGTGCTCAGCACAGTGCCTGGTACATAAACCATAACTGTTACCCACCATTTAGGTACTGAAAAGTCCAGTCACTAACAAAAACTTGTTATATTTACATGGTGTTTTTCACATGGGTTCGTTTATGAGTAATGAGATGCATCTTCACCCTGAAACTTTTCCCACACACGGTACATTTAAAAGGTTCCTCTCCTGTGTGGCTCTTCTGGTGGTATGTAAGTTCTGAATCCAAAGCAAAACTTTCTTCACATATTTTGCATTTATGGGTCTTTTCCTTTGTATGAGTGTTTTGATGGGAAACAAGCTCAGAGAAACAAGGAAAGGTCATGTCACACTCAGGACACTGTAAGGGTTTGAATTTTGAGAATGAAAAAAATTTTTCACCAACATCACTGTAGCGCTCAGAGTCCTCCTCCTGGTCCTTGGGGAGGGCAGGATGTGAAGGCTGCCCGAAGTTCTTCGTGCACTTAGTGTCCTGGTACTCCGTGGCTGATGTGTCTGTTTTCTCATGCAAAGCAAGATTTGTCTTCTGACCAACAGATTTACCATGGTTGGCACATTCATAGGCTTTTTCAGCAGTGTGGCTTTTCTGATGCTGTGCTAATGCTGGGAGCCACATAAAATTCCTCCCACATACACCACATGTATAGGGTTTTTCCTTTATGTGGCTATTCATGTGCCGGGACAGATGTGAATGCTGGCGAAAGCTGGCATCACACTTGGTACATTTATAAGGCTTCTCACCAGTATGGATTCTCCTGTGTGTCCTCAGGTTGGCTCTATGATTGAAGATCTTCCCACAGTCACCACATTTATATTTTTTCTCTCTTGAATGAATTTTCTGATGCAAAACAAGGTATGAATTATCACTGAAGCTTTGGTCACATTCAGTACACTTGAACACATTTTTGGCTTCTTCCCAGGGAAATTCAAGAATTTCTGAAAGTGCGCTGGTTCCTAAACACTGAGATAGTTCTACTAATGGGGTATGGTTTTCAATGGTAACTAAAAGGCTTATGAGCTTTTTCTTGCAAGTGGGAGTTGATATTTTCCCTTCAGGGTTTCCAACTCCACCCTCAGAGGATTTTTCTGGGTAATGGAGAAGGGGTGCAGCAATAGAGTACTTTTCTAGGGCAAGTTCTTCAAGTTCCATAGACTCTAGGCTTAATTGCTGATTAATCTCACTCTTGCCTTCCTCTCCTGTTAATAAAAACAAAACAAAGAAAAATATAGACAACACCTTCAAGTGATACTGGGGGGAAAAAATAAGCTACGGTAGTTGCAAAGAGGACCAGGAAGCTGTAGAAGGGACATCCTAAAATACAGACACTACAAAATAGACAAAATTAGGAGACAGCAGACTCTCCTGGATTCCCAAAAGACCCAGTTCTAAGTAAACTGGAAAGGGGAAGGAGCACAGAATAGCTAAAACTAAGTCAGAGTTGAGTAGGCTAAAGGTACTAACAACAATCTTGGTAGACATTGCCTAGAAGCCAAGTTTTCCAGCTAGTCTATGTAGATCTCAAGAGTTTTTCATTATTTAAGCTATCTCAAGTGACAAATGAGAAATTACAATTTGGGACGAGATTGGGATTCATACTTATCAGGAAAGAGAGAGGACAAGTGAATATTTTTCTATTGTAACAGGAAAATATGTAGGTTACCAGGAAATAGTTTTATTTCCACCAAGAAAGGAAGACATATTTCCAAAATGTCTTTACCTCTCAACTAAGAAAAAAAAATCAATGCAGAGCTGCTGTGTGTACTATAGGCAAATAATAGCTGGTTTTACTACGAGGATGGCTGACAAGACTTGGGCCTTGCAAAAAACGATTCTTTTAAAATATTTTTCCAAATATTCTTCAGTTATAAAGCCAATATATCAATACAAAAGGGACCTTTCAGCTGGGTGCAGTGGCTCACACCTGTAATCCTAGCGCTTTGGTAAGCTGAGGTGAGAGGAACACTTGAGGCTAGGAGATTGAGACTAGCCTGTACAACACAGGGAGACCCCATCTCTACAAAAAATTTTTAAAATAGCCAGCCATGGTGGCACATGTCTGTAGTTCTAGCTACTCCAGAGACTGAGGCAGGAGGTTCACTTGAGCCCAGGAGTTCAAGGCTGCAGTAAGTAATGAATTGCACCACTGTACTCCAGCTTGAGAGACAAAACAAAACCATGTCTCTTAAAAAAATGGGGTGCTTTCCTTCCAGGGAAATAAAGTTCTATGGCAGTCCCACTGCAATGACTAGAAAGGGTTTCTGGGCTGCAGTACAGTGCATGGGAACCTAAACATTACCCAGTGGCTTTGCTGAGTTGAGGAAACTGAGTCCAGAGATGCCAGGGCAACTAGAATTTGAAAGCAAAATAGCAGAGAAAAGGCAGCCTGCACCCAAAAAAAGAGCTCAGAGCAGCTACATGAGGTGCTCTTAAGACTTTGGCTGAGTACTAATCTGCAAGTACATGAAGAAACTACTTAAGACCATGGAAACAACCACCAAAAAAGGTATATACAGAGCAATAACCAGAGTTCACACAATAGTCCATGTTTCCACCAGCCAAAGTGGAAAGATTCTCTAGCATACCAGACATCAAACACTGTCCTCAGAAAAATATTGTCTTATCAGTAGATCAAATCAGCCCAGACTAAAGGTTGATATGAACCCACCCTAATAAAGCAAAAAAAGCACACCTTGAAAAGATCAAACTGACTCCAAATAACTGCATCTCATAACAGTCTAAACATATTTTTTAAAATACAACACCCAACAATATAAAATTAATATGTCCAACAGTCAATCAAAAATTACCAGGCAAGTAAAAAAACAGGAAAACATGACCCATAACTAGAAGAAAAATCAATCAATAGAAACAGACCCAGAAATGATACAGATGATAAAACTAGTAGAAAAAAATGTTTAAATCGTTTTTTGGGGGGGTTTTTTGGTTTTTTTTTTTTTTTGAGTTGGAGTCTCACTCTGTCGCCCAGACTGGAGTGCAGTGGCCACTCCCAGCCACCCCAGCCTCGACCTACTGGGCTCCAGCGATCTTTCCGCCTCAGCCTTCCAAGTAGCTGGAACTACAGGCGCACGCTGCCACGCCCAGCTAATTTTTTGATTTATTGTAGAGATGAGGTCTCGTCAATTGCCCAGGCAGGTCTCGAACCCGCGGGCTCAGGCAATCCACTCACCTCAGCCTCCCAAAGGCACAGGATTACAGGCTGAGCCACCGAGCCCGGCTTAAATAGTTATTATAAATATATTCCATATATTCAAGAAGGTAGAGGAAAACATGAACATGATGAAGAGAGAAGTGGAAGATATAAAATATGAGTTACAGGATAGATACTCAGTCCTAATAAAAGATAAAATCTACTCAGGCATAGGAATACATCTGCATATAGTTCCCCTTACATGAGAAAGGCATAGCACCCCCTTAAGAGAAAATCAATTTCCAATATTTAGCAAATGATAGTAATCTACATCAATTGGGTTTCCCAAGTAAAATTGTAAGTTGACTGCTACAAATATTTGTGGAAGATTGAGAGGTATTACTACCTCTCATGGGAAACCACAGTCACTGTACTAGACTGTACACTTTTGTTTTTAAGAAATCATCTCATGCTTTAAAACTTGGGTCTTATACAATTATCATATTCGCATAAACCACCCAGATACAGGTTCCACCATACCAACATGTTGACATGGCGTGAAATTCTCATCCTAGAAATGACAAAAATTCCAAAATGCAGGAAAAACAGTCTACTTACCCATCAAAGTCATATCCTCGAAACACTCCTGTATGGTGTCTCTGTTGAAGGAACTCTGGACAGGGTGCAGACTCACACACTCCTCTTGAGAAAAATACACAGACAGATCCTCAAACAGCACTGGTCCCTGAAACAGCATGAGAGCCCATATCAGTGCAAGAGGTTGGAGGGTAAACCCCTCACTCTGGGAAGGCTGAGAAGAGTGAGAAACATCAAATGTAAGGGAGAAAAGGGCTTCATGTCAAAGGTTCCTGAGTGCTGGTGTGAGGTAACTGGGTTCTAAGGGATGGGTGTTGGGAAGATGAGAGTAAACATGAACATACATCTTGAGGCAGTGATATATGAATCAAAACAGTAAACTACGAGAATTATGTAGTCTCTCCTGTAAAAGAAAAGGCACGGGAACAGCTCTTAGAGAGGGAAACCATTCAGTAAGGGTGCTCTAAGAGAAAGGAAAAGACTGGGCAACCCAGGAAGAATCATGAAAGAGATCAAGGTTCCAAGGTCCTCCCAACATCCTTCTTTTTGTTATTCCCTTTCTTTCTTCCCCATGACACTCATTGCTAAGCTCATTCCAGCGCTTCATCCAGGTCCATTCCTCTTTCCCTAATGATGTGATTAAGAATCCCATGGGTACAGAAAGATCGAACTGAGGGGGGGAAAGAAAGAAAAATAGAAAAGAATCACCCAGGCTGTACTATTTATGAGTCAACGAGCATAGAGTGAAACCTAAAAACCTGCAATTTTGAAGAGTTCCAGAAAGACACTGTGAAAAACTCGGTTACAGACTCCTCCAAAGGTCTCTGCTCTCAGTTGGCAGTTCTGAAAAGAAATTGGTAAACCACTTCTCCTATGTGCCTGGTCTTGGAACGAAAACAGCTCGGTGAACACTCCCATCACGACAGGCATAACTAACCTTCTCCCAGAGGAGAAGGTCTGGAAGAGACTGGAAAGTAGCCACAAACTTGTAAGATAGAAAAAGGTACCTCCTCTCACCTGGGCCTCGGTAGTCGGGTGCATGGACGCCATCTGGGGGGTAGAAATGTGCCTTCTTCAAGGAGCCACAGGGACTTTGGGACAAAGCTGTGAGAGAAAAGAATAGTCCTTAAAGGGAACAATTCTATAGCAAAGCTCCTCCACGCACCCCGGGCCTCCCTCGATTACGCTAAACCTCTTTAAGAACCTGCGCCGACTGCTTCTCTTCCCGGCCCCGCCTTGAGAGGGGCCCAACCTACCCCTCCGGAATTAATGATGGCCTCGCGCTACCCAGGCAAAAGCAGCAAGAAGCGACGCCTGACCGAGACGCGACCACGAAGGCCGCGGCCACCGCAGAACTCCCACGCTCCCATCCTCCCCTACGCAACAGCGGCGGGGAAAGCCGCCGGAAGCAACCCGCCCCCAGCCATATCCGTCATTCTGCCCTATGATTGGTCAGCATGCTCTCAAGGGGGCAGGCCTTCTTTTGTGTTGACCAATCGAGTACCTTAGCCGAGGACTGATAGCCACTGGGCAGGGCGAGAGGTAGTTTTCCTTCTTTTCTTCAAGCAAATGTTTCCGCTTCCGCTGGCGGGGTCTCCCCGGTGAGTTCTGGACTTGTTGACCCACTGTAGTAGAGTGACTCTCTGAGGGACGTAATGTTTCCGAGGAAAAGGAAAATAAGAAGAGATGGAGACACTGGAACTCGAAAGAGAACCGGTAACAAAATGTGGGCTCAGCCAGCGGTGCCCGTGCGCCTGAGGTTTGGGTCCGGCCAGAATAAGGTGAAGGAGAGGCCGGAGGTCTGGGCCCAGGCTAGGCTTGAGCAGTCCGCTGTGTCTTGCGCGGTGTAAAGGGGCGTCTTCTGGGTTCACAGAGTTCAGATCGGTGTAGGCCACGTTGCTAGTCTCCGGCCCAAAGCATTCTAGAGGCATTGTGCAGTGTACCACGCCGCTGCAGCCCAGCCAATCCACATCGGGGTCGCAGCCGAGCGGACCTCAAGCGGGAGTAGAGCCATTAGTTTGCTTCCTGAAACGTTGTTCGCCTCCTAAAACCTCACGTTCAACCTGCTCTAGTGCCAGACATTTCCATGTTCCTGACACTGGCTACCGTGGTGTAGAATGGAATTAGAAAATTGAGCTCTTTTCCAAACTCTGGCAGCAATCGGTTGGTCATCTTGACCAATTTACAACTTTACTTTCCTTAGTTCCAAAGAATTCAGAATGCCTCTTCTGGCTAACTCAGTGTAATTGCAAAGATTTTAAGATAATGTAAGTGAAGAAAATTGTCAGTTTACAAAGGTGCTTGAGGAAAGAAAAAGACAAGATGTTAGATACCTTGATAGAAAAGCCTGAGTAAGTCTCAGCATATTTCTTTGTCCTAGTGTCAGGCACATGCCTAAATCTAAAGAGTTACTCAGTGAGTGGTTGCATGGTTATCAAAACAATATCCTGAGAGTTGACAACTTAGGTAGTGTATTTGGTGGAATATCAGATGAGAGAGTTTCAGCTGTGAGTAGCAGAAAACCCACCAAAACGATGTTCAGAGATAGAGCAGTTACAGGTTGATTAATTCAGTACACAGTGACATCAAAGTCCAAGAGCTTTTCCTCTACCGTGTTGGTGAAGGTGACAGTGGAACACAGGTAACACTTGTAGACAGGTATTGTGTCATGTGCCCATCCTAAACCAGTTATTATTAAGAATAGAAGAATATCATTTTGCCATCATGCTTCACCCCTGGCACTGGGGGAAGGACCAAGTCTCCCATCATCATCTACCTACATAAAATCAGGACTCTGTTGGAAAAGGGGAAGTGGAAAAGAAGTTAGGTAGGAAACACAGTATCTGCCACAAGTGACATCTGTTGACTGCTAGCTAAAAGCTAGGCCTTGTGGAAATGGGTCACTAAAGAGGTACTTGGTGTTCCAGAACAGATGGAAGAATGATAAGAACAAACTTCTATACGGCTTAGACCAATCCACAGCATATGTGTTAAAGAAGAGCTAACAGCCTGTTATATGAAGGCCTAAAATTAGGAATGTTCATCATAGTTGCTGTGCCTCTCATGTAGTCATCTTTCCCTTCTTGCTTTGTGTTTATACTTAATGCTATTCTTATTTTAGGGATATTGCATTTTGGGCTTAGATTCTCCCGATCTGGATTTGTGACTCTTTCACCAAGAACAAGAGGCTCTCATGGCTGTTTTCTTTGAATCTTGTCATTATTATTATTATTTTTTTTTTTTTTTTGAGTCGGAGTCTCACT